TGAGAGATACAGAGGTCAGAGTCCGAGGACAAGGATGCACGGCAGGTACCTGAACCCCTGAGCAGTGTTGAGCTGACTGTGGGATGTGACCTATTTCAGTAAATAAAACTTTTCATTTCCCATAAAGCAGATGCCTCTGTGTAGAGGATAAATGGCCTGGGCACTCAGATCTGCAAATGCACTGTCCCAAAGTGAGGTGGCTGCAAAGCCACTCCCCTTGGTGTTCATTGTGGTCGTGGGCTGGGCTCTCCCTGGATAAGCTGGGTGACATGAGCAGGTCTCCTGCCCTCTCTGGGCTTGAGGGCCTACATTTGAGCAAGGTGGGAGGTAGGAGGTAAGCCAGCCCAGTGTTCACAGTTCTCTCAGACCCACACCCCCTTTTTCATAACAAACATTTTGTATCACTCGTTACGACTTTAAATGGAATTCAGAGATAATAAAACTAACCTACACTCATTGAAAAAAAATCAACATCATGTCCTAACTAGAGACATAAAGGGAAAGTAATTTTGAATAAAATGATCTGTACTTCAGTCCTCAGGTGTAAGTATAATACAAGACAAATTAAAGCAGTTAGATGCTTGCCTCTATGTACAGGGCTGTTTCATGAGTGATTTAAATACTGTATATGTGTTGCTGCAGGTGACATAATTTTTCAAAATGGCAAAAAAAAAGCCTCTTAACAACATGAACAATATAGAGTTTGGTCTTCCCTCAATTGACATAGTAGTTGTATTCTTGGGAAATTTGGTGTATATTAAATCTGGGCAACAAATACTTTAAGTTTATATGTCAATAGCAAATGAATTAGTGTCTAGCTTCAGGTTTTTATAAATAGGTTTACAGCTTCACTAGGTCCTGGCAGGTCATGTGGTAGGGCAACCTCTGTGGTTTGAGACTCTCCTTTCTGTTGCGAAGGCAGCCATAACCAGTCCTGGTCCCAGTCCCTGCCCCCGTCATCACTGTGTCAACCCAAAATATACCCCAAGTTCCCAGAAAGTCCAGGAGCCTGGAGGCTTGCTCTGTACCGTGCTCATGCTGGGCTGCCAGTGAATGTTTTTGCCCTGGAAACTGATGATAACTTGCCCCAGTTTAAAGATCTGCGGGTGATTGGCTCCCCAAGATCCAACTCCTTGGCTGGGATTCAAGTGCCTGAACCCAGTTGTCACCTCCTCTTTGATTTTGTGTGACTAGAGAAAGCCCTTTCTTTGTCCATGGGATCCCTGACCCTTCCTCTAGAGGTCTCAGGACATCTTTCCCCTGTAACACTACCTGGCAGCTAATGTTTATTGAGCACTTACTATGCCTCAAACACTTTTAAAAAGAGCTTCACATACACAAACTCATTCATCCTCATGACAACCTATGAAGTGAGTTCTATTATCATTTCCATTTTATAGATAGGGAACCATAGACTGCTAAATGAGTTTGAACCCAAATGTTGAGCCCCGAGTCTGTGTTCCTAACCATTATACCACCCTGTCTCTACTTGGCCTATGGGACTGCGCTGGTAAATTTTCATGTCTGGTCTGGAGGTGGCATGAATGCCCCAGGAGACACAGTGAAATTGTCTCCATGTGTGAGAGTGAGAAACTGGAACAACTTAGGTTTCCAGTCATCAACGGAATTCAGATATATGACACATTGATACAGTGAAATACTATACAGCTCTGAAGATGAATGAATTAGACCTTCAGGTAATCAACATGGAATAAATCTGAAATGTTGAGCCAAAATAGCAAGGTTCAGAATGATATGTGTATAAAGTACAATTATATAGTGCCATTTTGATAGAGTTTAGAGATGTGTGACAGGGCTGGCCAAGTGGCTTGTTGTTCAAGAGTTGGCTTGGGAGCACAAGCTCTGAGCAGGAGGGCCGCTGGTTGGGATCCCACATGGGCCAATGACGCTGTGCCCTCTACAGCTAAGATGGTGAATGACAGCTCGACCTAGAGCTGGGCTGCTGTGAGTCGCCGGCGATGGCATAGGCTGCAGTGGGGCTGCAGTGGGCTGCGATAAGCTATGTGAGTGGCTGAAAACCAGTGTGAGTGACCAGCAGCTTGCGTGAGCTGCCGTGAGCCTCCATGAGCGGCCGTCCAATGGCTGACAACCGATCTGCCTCAGCCGGGAAGAGCACAATGATCACAATACCAACATGGGCCAGTGAAGCGACGTCCTCCACAACTAGAGTGAAGAACAAAAGGACAGCAGCTTGTCTGTTCATCTTTCCTGATTCTCTAATGCTGTTCCCTCCCCCAATTCCCCAATAAAAGAAAAATCTTAAAAAAAAAGCAACATGTGACACCATGCTTGACTAGGTCTGGCACCCCCCACCCCCACCCCAGCCCAACGACATAGGCTGCATGCTGAGCAGTGTGTGTATGACTTAGGGGTGGGGGTGGAGTACACTTGAGCAGGCCTGGCACCCCCCACCCCCACCCCATCCCAACACAGAACCCTCAGGGCTGCCATCCTCTGGGTGTCAGGATACAGGAGGCCTCATTGAGTGGCGTCTGTCCCCACTCTTCCTTCGGCTCTAGGCCTTATCTGCAGAAGGAAGTGGGGGGCCCTTGATGGGAAGGAGAAGGGAAAGAATCCAGGACGGGAAGGAGGCATATCAAGAAGAGCAGCAGAAAGGAGAAGACAGAAAAAGAGGAGGGAGAGAAACAGGTGCTCCAATTCAGGGAGGCCTGGATTACAGCCACTGACCTCCGTAGTCTGGACTCCAAGGCACAAGCCCAGTGAGCTAAAAGCAGCCTGTTGGCCCCTGGTGGGGGCTTTCGCAGCCTTGGTGGGCGCCTCGCTTTGTCTTTGGTTGGCCATCTTGCCTGTGCACAGCCCCAGACCCCAAACTAGGGGAACGGCAGGGCTGAGGAACTTTGACTCCAGTTCATTCCGCACTCTTTCAACCTGTCAAGAGCAGGTTTTCCCTAAGTGCCCACCGAGGGCCCTGAATTGCCCACCATTTGTTTTATTTGCCAGCGCTCTCTCCACATCTTTTGGGGACCCCCCCCCACCTCCCGCCATGTCCCTATAAGTCAGCTCAATGTCTTTCCTTAGGATTTTCCAATTGGATTTGATGAGAATCAGGGCCCTCTAGTGGCTGTAGCCACAAGATGAGGGACCCAGGCGCTGTGGGCTGCCAGGTTTCCTGACATGGTGGCTGCAGTTTACGCTGTCAACACCTAACAACAATTATTTAGTGCTTCCCATGTGCCAGGCATGGTAAATGCTTTAATGCACGAATGCATTTTAACCTCAACGCCATCTCAGAAGGGAGGCGCTAATGAATGTTATTACCAGTTTATAGATAAGGAAACCCAAGACACACTGAGAGAGGCAAACTCACCAAGAGATGAGTAGGAGAACTGGTGTTTGACCTTGCAGTCAGATTCCCAAGCCCATGAACTTCATCTCTACCCTGTATGTCCCCTCAGATATTTATGGAGATTTACATGTGCCAAGCATTCTGCTTAGTGCTTGCAGTTTCTTTCTTTCTTTTTTTAAAAAAAGATTTTATTGGGGAATTGGGGGAGGGAAACAGCATTGGGAATCGGGGAAGGGGAACAGACAAGTTGCTGTCTTTTTGTTCTTCAGTCTAGTTGTGGAGGATGTCACTTCACTGGCCCAAGTTGGTATTATCATTGCGCTCTTCCCGGGTCAGGCAGCCTGTTGCCGGCCATTGGACAGCCTCTCATGGCAGCTCTTGGCAGCTCATGCCGGCTACCAGCTGCTCACGGTAGCTTACAGGAGCCCACTGCAGCCCCACTGCAGCCTACGCCGGCACCGTTGCCGGCAACTCACGGCAGCCCAGGGGCAGGTCGAGCTGTTGTTCACCATCTTAGCTGTAGAGGGCGCAGCATCACTGGCCCTCATGTGGGATCTGAACAGGGGCCCTGCTGCTCAGAGCTGGCATCCCAAGCCAACTCCTAAGCAGCGCGCCACTCAGTCGGCCCAGTGCTTGCAGTTTCTTTGCAGTGTCAAGCACACTCCTGCCTCAGGGCTTTTGAACTTGCTGTTCCTTGAGCTTATATTAAGCTCTTTCCTCACATATCTGCAAGATTCTCTCCCTCACTCCCTTGGCGTCTCAGATCAAATGTCACTTTATCAGTGAAACCTCATCTGACCACCCTCATCTGACCACCTCATCTCCAGTTAGTTCTGGCACCTTCCATGCCTCCACTCTGTCTTATTTTATTCTCTTGCCCTTTTTACCATGTGGCACATTACTTATCTATGTTCATTTGCTCTTTGTTTATCTTCCCCGCAGTAGGAGGGAAGCTCTGAGAGAGCTGACTTTTCTATTTTATTCTCAGCACACAGATTAGTGCCTGGCACATTGTCAGCCTTCAACCACTTTTTATGACTGAAGGAATGGTTAGATTCCTGCTCTCAGTGAGCTCAAGTTCTAGTGGCGACAACGAACAATCAAGAAAACACACACCACACACACACACACACACACACACATTTATTTCAGGTAACAGTAAGTGCTATGAAGAAAACTTAAGCTGCATAAGAGAAATGAGAGTGATAAAGATGTCACAGTGGAGTGGGCTGGCCGAGTGGCTCAGTTGGTTAAGAGCTCACTCAAGAGTTTGAGCTCTTGAGCAACAGCGGTTCAAGTCCAGCCCGAGCTGAGCAGCCGCTGAGCTGCCAACAGGTAGCAGGATGGCTCAGCTAAAAAAAAGAAAGATGTCACGGTGGACACAGTGGCCTGGAAGGTCCCTTAAAGGAAACAGTTAAGCAGAGACTTGGATGAATTAGGGAACATGGTACGATCAAGGTGGGTGCCAGAGTAGAGTTGTTTTTAAGGGGTGGTGATGGGAGATGAAATCGGGTGAGCATCAGGGCCCCTGCAAGGTAAGGAGGTTTTTAGGGACAGAGCAGGGAACCACCTTTAGTTATTTCGGAGGCCCAGTTCCATGCCTCTCTGCCGTTAGTTTCCTGTGGCTGCTGTAACAAATTACTGCAAACTCGGTGAGTTAAAACAACAGAGATTTATTCTCTCATAGTTCTGGAAGCCAGAAAAGTCTGAAATCAGTATCACTGGGCTGAAATCTTGGTGTCAGCAAAACACGCTCCCTCTGGCGGCGCCGGGCAGAATCTGTTCCTTGCTTCTTTCAGTTCTCGATGACTGCTGGCATTCTTTAACTTGTGGCTCCCATCTTTGCCTTTGTGGTCACATTGCTTCCTCTTTTTGTTCTGTTTCGAATCTCCTTCTGTCTCTCCCTCATCAGGACAATTTGTGACTGTATTTAGAGCCTTCCTGGATAATCCGGGATAACCTCTCCATCTCGAGGTCATCACTCCCATCTGCACAGTCCTTTTTTGCCATGTAACAGGCACAGATTCCAGGCACTAGGATGTGGTTATCTTTGGAGGTGTATGTGTGGGGAGATGTTATTCAGCCCACCGCATCTGTGCTTTCTGATGTCTGGTGATTCAATGATTTATTCAACTGTTGGACTAAGTTAATGTCCCTGTTGTCTGAGTCTTGTTCAACCTGTTTTTCTGTTGTTATGATGAAAACCATCCGGACTACTCCACTTTCCCACATAGTTAAGTGCTAATAAATGTTTGCACGGAAAGACAGAAGGGGGTTCACATATCCCGAGTGTACACAGTGCACATAACACATAGTAAGCCCTTAGCAAATGTTGAGCTGAACTGGTTCTCATACAATGCAGAGAAATCCAGGTTATTAGCCTCCCAATTCTGAGAGGTGAAGGGACTGGTTAGTCACTAAGGGCACACAGGGAGGGAGTGAGGGCTTCGGGGTTAGAAGTCAGGCATGTCTGACTCAGGAAATGAACGTTTTCCCCTACACCAGGGCTTCTCAACCTGGGCACTGCTAATACTTTGAGCCAGACAACTCTTTGTGGGCTGTCCTGTGCATTATAGGATATTTAGCAGCATCTTTGTCCTCTACCCAATAGATGGTGATAGCACCTCACCCTCCTCAAGTAGTGACAACCAAAAATGTCTCTCGACATTGTCCAATGTCCCAGGGGGCAAAATCTCTTCTTCAGAATGAGTGCCCTCCATTATGCTGCCCTAGCGGAGGTGGTCGCACAAAGAAGTGCCGTTTCAGCTGGGAATGGAACTCAGGTATCACACAAGTAAGTAAGTAAGAGGCTGCCTTTATGCCACTGAGATGGAAATTACTGGTTACAGTATCTACTGATATTTACCCCTTTATTCTCCAGTGAAAATTTTCAGCTGGAGACCTTGCTGCCAAAAGAAAGACTACATTTCCCAGCCTTCCTTGCAGCTAGATGACCATGTGACACATTCCAGCCAATTAGAGGTGATGTGGGCAAATTTCTAGCAGCTGCTGTAGAAGGAGAGGGTCATGCTCCCCTTCACTTCTTCTCTGGCCTTGCTGCCTGGGATGTGGACCTGGTAGCACACGATCAAGGAATCCTGGGTCTCAGTACCAGGGAGCTACTGTTTTACCCGACCTGCTTATGCTTGGATATTATGAGAGAAACCAACTTTGTTCTGGTTTAGGCCACGGTTATTTAAGAGTTTTGTTCAAGTTGCCCAAACTGAATTTCAAGTGTTACAGCTACCCAAGCTAGCCGCAGTAGGGAAGGAAAAAAAGCAGGGGTAGGGGAAAGATGTAAATGGAGGGGCACAGGCAGTGTGGCTGGGAGAGCCCAGAGACACTCAGGGATACCTTCTGGGAAGGACTCTGGGAAGGATCTTGAAGGTTGAGAAAACGTGAAGAGGAGCAGAAAGGGGGGGGGCAGCAGGAGGGACTGCAGCAGGAGAGACCTGGGTAAGGCTTTGAAGGACAATTAGGGCTTGACCAGGCTGAGAAGAGAGAGGAAGGCACATCAGAGGGGAGCCCAGTGTCAAGTGTGAGTATTTCACCAGCTGACCTGAAACCAGGGGTGGAGATCCTGGAGTTTGCCATGAGGCCTGGGGATGGGGGTGGGGGTGGGGCGGCTGGTGGTGGTCTCTGGAGGCTGGGATTGGAGGCTGAGAAATGGTTGGGAAACCCTGGCTCCTCTCTGACTCAGAGGACCACTCTGGGACTAACCCTTCACCCATACTCCATGCCCCATGCTAAGATGAACACAGCTTTGCTGGGCCTGGGGTTTTGATATCTTCTTGTCAAGCCCTTCTCCAGTAGACAGCCAGAGCCAGTAGGAGTGCAGCCAAGGTCACTGTCTTCAGCCCCAGGACCACAGTTGCGAGCACAGACAGGAGATCTGGGGGACACAAAGGAGAGCTCAGGAAGGGCCCCAGGTGAGCCCCTCAACAGGCCCCTGTGAATGAGGTTGGTCTCAGCTGTCCTGCTACACCTGGGGCCACATCTTCTCTACACTGGAAGAGGAGCTCATAGTCCTCCCTTCCCTTTGTCCCAGGCCTGAAAAGGCTTTGCTCAATATCATACCTGTTCCTTTAATTATCTTGATAGAATCCCTGACCTTTGACAATACAGTAAGTTATCACTTAACATTGTCAGAGATTCTGTAACTTTAAGCAAAACATATAATACATATAACAAAACCAACTTTACCGTAGGCTAATTAATATCAACAAGAGTAACGTTCCTATGGCAACTCATCAAAATTATAATGAGGGCCGGCCAAGTGGTGCAATGGTTAAGAGCTGGCTTGGGACGCCAGAGGGCCCCGGTTCGGATCCCACATATGAGGGCCAGTGACACTGCCCTCTACAGCTAAGAAGCTGAACAACAGCTCAACCTTGAGCTGGGCTGCCGTGAGTTGCCAGCTACAGCGTAGGCTGCAACCCCTGCTGCAATGGGTTGCCATGGGCTACCGTGTGTAGCCAGCAGCCAGCGTGAGCGGCCAGCAGCTGCCGTGAGCAGCCGTCCAGAAGCTGGTGACTGATCTGCCTCGCTCGGGAAGAGCGCAATGATGGTGCCAACTTGGGCCAGTGAAGCAACATCCTCCACAACTAGACTGAAGAACAAAAGGACAGCAACTTGTCTGTTCCCCTTCCCCCAATCCCCCAGCCCCAATTCCCCAATGAAAATAATCTTTAAAAAAAAACTTATAATGAAATGATGGAAACATTATTCAAGGACCTGCTATAATAGAAAACAGCTTTCATCTATTGGCTGCTCTGCTCCTGAGCTAAGTGCTTCCTAATTGTCTAATATAGTTCTCAAACTAACCTTGCAAGGTAGGATAGCAATTCAATTTGTGTAGATGAGGAGGCAGACCCAGAGTGGAGAGGTGATTTGCTCAGGGCCACATGTGTCAAAGAAGTGATGGGGCCAAGTGGTCTGGCTCCCAAGAATGACAAGTATATGGCTGAGCATCAGGGAGGCTAACCTGGCCACCTCTAGCCCCAGTTCTCTCCAGTTATTGAGTACCTCTGAGTGATGTGACAATAACAGGTGATGTGACAGGCATATTGCTGGGCACTCGGCATGTGTGATTCATTTGATCTGTACACAACCCTGTGAGGTAGGCTCTCTGATTCTTATCTTGCCTCTCCCCTAGTTCACAGAGCAGGACACCAGAGATTCAAGGAGTGAGGCAACCTGCCCACAACCTCACAGCTAGAAAGAGGCTCAATCCAGGAAGCCTGACCAGCCAGCCATGTTCTTTAGCACTGTTATGCACAGTTTCACGGTGTATCCTTGCAAGGAATCACAGGGAGCTCACTAACTCTCAAGGAAGCCCGCCCACTGAACAGTTAGCACTGGCTGTTAGAAAATCCTTTCTCTGAGCTATAATATGGTTCTCTGGGTTTCCCGGTTCTGCAGTTGAGATGGAGTCCTGGAAACTTTCTTGGTGGCAGATGGACCCTAGAAATCTGGAACCGCTCCCTTCCCATGGCCAAACCATCTTTGACTGCCTTTGCCTGTGGGGACTGGTTAACCCCACTGAAGGTAGGTACACTCACCTGACATAGGTGTACTGGCTACAGGTTGATCGATGACTTCTGTCTCATTGACAGAAGTGGGCTTTGCTGCAAGGGAGAGAAGTGGTCTTATATTTCCTGTTTCTTTCTGTCTCACCACTTCCTGAACCCTTGTGCTTGGAGCTGGAGTCATCAAGTTGAGTCTTCAGTTTCTACTTGAGATGAAGGCTGGAAGTCAAACTGTATAACTATGAAGGACTAGTTAGACCTGCTTGAGCATCTTCAGGGGAGGAATAGTGTCTGATTCATTGTATTGTCTGTAGCACCAAATACAATGCAGAGCAGTCAAAAGGCATGCAATAGATGTTTGTTGAATCATTAACAGTCTATACAAAGTTCTGTGGAGCCCAGAATGGGGAGAAATGAACTCTCCTGGTAGAAGGAGAAGGTTTTATAGAGAAGAGGCTATTTAAGCTGGGTCTTCAAGGATGAATAGGAGTTCCCCATAGAAAAAGAGAAAGCATTCTAGACAGAGAGAACAGCTATGTGAAGGCATGGAGGCTGAGAAGAGCTGGCTTGTTTGGGACATGATGAAAAGTTCCTTGTGGACCACTTCCCCCTCTCCTCCAGTACCTCCTAGACCTGCCACCTGCCTTACCTTTCACTCTCAGCATCGTGCCCTGTCCAGACATGTATTGCCTGTTGGGTTTCCTCTGAAACTTGACACAGTAGTAGGTGCCTGCACACTCAGTGGAGACGTCTTGCAGAAGAATGCTGAAATCGCTGTTGGAGGCCCGGACCGCTGTCACCTTGGGCTGGGAGATGCCTTCAAAGTTGTAAATGGCCTCCCGGCTCATACCAGTCCCCTGAAACCACCTGATGGGTCCGGAAGGACCATCTCCAAGCACTGTGCAGTTCAGGAAGACAGTGTCTCCAGTGGTTGCCAACACTAACTCCTGCGGTTGGATAATGCAGAGGTTTGGCTCTAGGTCCCCAGCTCCTGAAGACAAAGAGAGATCACTGTTGTAGTCCCTCTCTTCTTCCATTGTCCACTAATTTCCTCCCTCATATCTTCCCTCCTTTCCCCCTTCTTTGCTTTTTTTCACTCAACCACTCCCTCCCACATTCCCTCATTACTCACGAGCGGAGTCGCTCAGTAAAAAAGTTGTCAGTATCAACTATGTGCTGATGTGAGGACTGGGGAAAAGGAGGCTCAGAAAGACACACAAATGTCCTGCCCTGAAGAAGGTCTCAGGCTGGTGTTGGAGGTGGTCCAGGAAACCCCCCCACAAGGGTGGAAACCCAGAGAACTGCGGGACCAAGAGAAGCCACCTGTCACAACTTGGAAGGAGTCAGAGGAGTCTTCCTGAAATGCTTGCATCAAGTTAAAATGAACCCCCACCATACACAGATCCTCTCCATGTCAGCAATTTATAGAGTGGTTTCATAAACATCTGTGCTTCCATTTTATCACCTGAATGCTTCTTGAAGTAGGAATTATGTTGCATATTTTACAAGTTAAGCACTTGAAATAGATAGCACTGAAGTGACTGATTAAAGAACGCACTTCTTTTGAATGACAGACCCAGGATTTGGGTATCCAGGTCATTATCGGTGAACTTAAAAATATGATGACTGATTCCTTGGGGAGTGTGGTAGATTAAATGATCAGCCCCAGAACATCCATTCACCTGCCATGGCCTCATGGTGGTAGGTACACTTCCTTGTCTCTTGACTTTGAGCTGAGTCATGTGACTTGCTTTAGCCAATGTGCTGTTAGCAGACATCATGGGAGCAGAAGCTTGAAAAGGGCTAGGGGCATTGGGCACTTTCCCTCTTATGCTTCTGCCATCTCCATGAGAAAAATGTACTGGGCCTTGAAATGAGACATATGGAATAGAACCACCCCAGCTGCCTATATGTGTGAGTGAGATATACTAATTTTTAAGTGTCACTGAGATTTTGTGTGTACAGCATGATTGTATAATAGATAAAGGTGACTGATGTAGGGAGATAGATCAGAGCAGAACGTTATGACCTGCAGGGCCTGATACTTACCCTTCACAAGCACTGAGGTGCCCTCATCCTGCTGTATTTTTGAGTGCTCATTCAAGCCATCAGACCTCACACAGTGGTAGGTTCCTGCCTGTTTCCTGGTGATATTGTGGATATAGATGGAATAATCGCAATTAAGTGGCTCCGGTGTCCCCTGGATCATGGGCATCACCCCAGGAAAGAAGCCATGTTTGAAGTTATAAACTTCCTGCTGTTCCTGATTGCTCACCTTGATCCATTTCATCGTGGCATCAATGCAGGAGCCGATCACTGTGCACCTCAGTAGGAGTGTCTCACCTTCTGCTACCAGCATGGGACCCTCGGGTTGCAGCACCTGCCACTCACTCCCGTTGCTCAACTCAGAGGAGCCTACAACAGAGGTAGAAAGTCCTTGCACTGGACAGGAAGGACTGGAGCCTTAAGAGGCAAGTTTAACATACACCAGTCATTAGCTGGCCAAGAACAAATTGTTCAGAGCACTCCAGGAGTGTTGTCGGAAACGGAAGTGAAAAAGGAGATGAAGCAACTAGCTGGAGAGCACAGAGCTATCGAATGAAGAACTTCCAAACAATAGGCTCACCATGTGCCAGGCAATGCATGTATTATCACACAATGCTTCCACGAGGTGGGCAGCATTACCCCCATTTTAGAACAGAAGATGCTGAGTGCACACAAAGGCTAGGTGACTTTTCCAGGATCACCATTTATGGACTGAATGGTACACCCCACTTGTGCAATTCATATGCTGAAGCCCTAAACCCTGTACCTCAGAATGTGACTGCATTTGGAGATAAGGTCTGTAAACAAGTAATTAAGTTAAAAATGAGGTCACCTGGGTGAGTCTTACTCCAACATGACTGGTGTCTATATAAGAATAGAAGATTAGGACACACACACACACACACACACACACACACACACACACACGGGAAGACCATATGTAGACTGTCACCTACAAGCCAAGGAGAGAGGCCTCTGAAGAAATCAACCCTGCAGACACCTGTATCTTAGACTTCTAGCCTGCAGAATTGCGAGAAAATAAACTTCCGTTGTTTAAGCCAGCAGCCTGAGGTACTTTGCTGTGGCGGCCCTAGCAAACTAATACATCACTCAAAAAGAACATGACAGAATCTCAATCCAAACCCTTAAAGCCTTTCCTGGAACCTCTTCTCTTAACCCTCAAATGTATCACACAAAGTTTATATACTGTGTGTCAAATGTTAATACCCTCCCTGCCTCCTGTGACTACTTCAACAGCACTTCTTGATGTGTTGTGAAGTGGGTCTATTTGGGAGATAGGTTGACCTTTGACTTTGGCCTCAGACTGGGCTCAGGGAAAGAGGGTGGAGGAGGCCTACAGAAGTTCAATACCCAGGTTATGAACATCATAGGTACCAGCACTCCCTGAGTGGGTGCTATTACTATCTCCAGTTTGGAGAGGAGAAAACTAATGCTCAGAGAGGTGAACCATGCATTCAGTAAGCATCATGGCTAGGATTTCAACTCAGATCAGGTGAACTCAGTTCAGGTGACCTTGCTCAACACAAGGTCATCAGCTTTGTGCCCTGAGTTTCCCTTGGTTTGTGCTTCCATCAGGCCCTGGCAATAACTTGGTCTCACTCCAAGACATAAACTTGCAGTATATCATGGCGTTTCTCAGTTGTGAGTGAGGTGGAGAGTAGGGAGGTGAAGCAAACATTCTTTTCTAAGAGGATCTGGGGAAGGCTTGTGGAATTCTAAATTATTTTCCCGCCGGTCTTCAGCTAAGTGTGTTCTGTTAGCCACTAAGAACTGCCTTACAGTTGTGACCAAGTGACACTCCATATTCAATCCTAGGGATGCCTTTGGTCCTGGGTGTCCTTAATTCCAAGAAGTTCAGTATCACTCACCCCCAACACCATTATCTTAGCCAGTCAGATCTGTTCTCTCTAATCCTTTCTGGTGGGTCTTTCCCTGGCTTCCGGTAGTTTCCTTGCATGTATGCATAGAGCAGTGCCCATCACTCAGCTGAGAATAGTGCCTGTTCCCACCAGCTAAACTGGAAATCCTCATGATTGACAGGGCATTGGGTAGGCTATGCAGGAGAGGGTACTGTGTCCAGAGAGAAGTGCTCTGGTCCCACTTAACAAATCTGAAAAACAAGGCCCCCAAATAACTAAAAGTAATAACATTCTATTTTGAGGCTTATAACCCAAGCTATAAGTAAAGTCAAGACAACAACAGAATAAAGGCAAGGATGGGGGAAACAGTATCCCATCGTAAGGTTCTTAGACCGCAGTCATATATCACGTGATGACGATTTGGTCAACGATAGACCACATATACTACAGTGGTCCAATGAGATTATAGTAGAGATAAAAAATTCCTATCACCTGGTGACACCGTAACTGTGGTAAGGTCATGGCACAACACATTCCTCACATGTTGGTGTAAACAAATGTACTGTGCTGCCAGTCATATAAAAATATAGCATGTACAGGTATGTACAGCATATAATACTTGATGATAATAAAATGACTATGTTACTGGTTTATGTATTTGCTATACTATACTTTTAATCATTATTTTAGAGTGTCCTGTTTCTGCTTATAAAATAGAAGTTTGCTGTAAAACATTATGCCGTGTTACACTGGCAGCAGCCTCATGCATCTCTTGTTTACCATGTCTCTTGATCACACCATGTTCTCTTGTGCTTCATTTAATTTCGTCTTTTGTTCATCATGGCTCCTAAGCATTCGCACAATACAAATTCACCTAATGATGCATTTCCCCATCCTTGTCCTTAAGCGATGCATGACTATGTGAAATGATATGATATCACATAAAGGTAAATGGTGATAAATTGAAGATGTACACTACAAATCCTAAGGCAACCACTAAACTACAAAATAAAGAGTTACAGCTAATACACCAATAAAGGAGATAAAATAGCATTACACAAATATTCAAATATCAAAACAAGACAGGAAAAGAGGAAAAAGGGGACAAAGAACAAAGAAGAGAGTAATAGTTGTTGGGAGCCGGCTGCACCTCAGTGTCTGACATGGCCTATCACACTGCTATTGTGACAAATCCTGAAGCTCTGGCTGAGAAACAGATACGGCTTTATGTTTTGGAAATTTTAAATTCCCCTTTGGATGCCCCCAGTAGGATAAAGATCTGACACCCCTTCTTATATTGATTGTTTTATTTACTTTAACCAAATAAGTGAGTTTTGGACATATTACTATAATTCTGTTTTACTGTTAGTTTCTTAGCGATAGATTCTTAGTGATAGACAAGTTATGCACTTTATAATTCTTAAGATCCTGTTTAGCCAGTAGTGTTTGAAACATTTGCTAAGTAGTAAGCATTTAAGTGCCAAGGCAGGAACTCAGCTCTGGCCATTATTGGAAGAAATTGAAACATAGTTAGGATAAGTTAGTCATTAGTATAGAACAGATCCGGCTGTACTCTGTAATAGAAACATTGTGAGGAAGTAAAATTCTGAGAAAAACCAACTTCTAAGGAAAATAGACCCTGGGAAGGAAGGCACATTGAAACTATGTAGAAAGCAATTTCCTAATGGGTAAAGGTTTAAACTTGGAAAAACAACTTTGGGAAAAACAGTTCAATGACGTAAATAGTTACCTGCCCAGTATAAAAAGGACAGGCTGTAAAAATAAAGTGAGACATTAATTCTTGAAAGCACTCCTGTGTCTCCGTGTGTTCTTTCCTCGCAGACGCCGCCTCCACCTGAGGGAACTCCTGGATTTGTGGGAGCTGGTCTCCCGCAAATAGTTTAAAATCTAATCACATAGAAAATCACTTTAAATGTGAATGGTCTAAATACCCTAAGTGAAAGCTAGAGATTGTCAGATTGGATAAAAAAGTAAGACCCAACTCTCTGTTGCCTATAAAAAATGTACTTTAAATATTACAGGTGCAAGTAAGTTAAAAGGAAAATGATAGAAAAACATATACTAACACTAATAAAAAGAATATAAATATAAGATAAAGTAGATTTCAGAGCAGAGAATATCTCCAGGTATAAAGAATGCCACTTCATAATGATAAAGGGGTAAATTCAATAAGGCATACAAATCCTGAACATTTATGCACCTAGTAACAGAACTTCCAAGTATAGGAAGCAAACCCCAATAGAACTACAGGGAGAAATAGATAAATCTACAGTTACAGTGTGAGATTTAAATATCCTGTCGATAGTTGATGGAGGGCTCAGCACAAGGTGAATGCTAAACTTATCAGCCATCATTATTCAAGGAAAACTGCTCAAAGTGAAGTGGTGCCTCAAGTCATAGCCAGTGAGCAAAGGAACATCCAGCTCTGGCCCCACACCTGGGCCCCACCAAGGACCCTCCTGGGGATGACCATTTTGGAGGACCCAACATATGATGAACAGAATCTAGATCTCAGCAGAGCTGGGCTTGGGGCCAGGTGGGCAGGAGACGGAATAAGCACACTGAGAATCAAGCGTTTTGCTGGTGGATCAGAGGGTTCTAGGGTCAGAAGCTGAGCAAGACTCAGAAGCCCCAAGACTCTGGAGCTAAAGCAGTTTGATTCTGACTTAGAAGAGACATGGGTATGATAACAATAGCCAACAGTTTTAAATCTTTATATTGTGCCATGTACAGTTGAGCCCTGAACAACACGGGTTTGAACTGAGCGGGTCCACTTATACTTGTATGCAGATTTTTTTTCATTAAATATGTACAGTATTATGGTTTTTAAAATAACATATTTAGCTTACTTTATTATAAGAATACAATGTATGTATAATACATATAACTTACAAAATATGTGTTAATTGACTGCTTATCAGTAAGGCTTCTGGTCAACAGTAGACTGTTAGTAGTAAAGTTTTGGGCATGCCAAAAAGTATATGTGGATTTTGATTGCATGATGGGTTGGTGCTCCTAACCCCTGCGTGGTTCAAAGGTTAATTGTTCTTATAGGTATTACCTTGTTGCAATGCATCCTCTTAACAAAGTCATGGGGTAGGTCCTGTGATTAGCCCCATTTTACAGAGAGGGTATACTGAGGCTCAGAGAGAACTTACTTAAAGCAATTGGTGGTGAGATTTGAGCCCAGCTTTGGCCCAGGCTGAGCCAGTGTTGGCTCATGGGTGTTCGACATATATAGTCACACAGGGGCCCATGCTTGCGTTAATGCTCTGCTGTTGCTGTCTTAAAATTCTTAACACTTTTTGAACAAAGGACCTGTGATTTCATTTTGCACTGGGCCCGGAAAATTACATCACCAGCCCTGGGCTGAGTCCCACCATTTTTATATTTAATACTCACAGCATTTCTAGAGAAAGGTCTCATTAGCAGTCCCGCTTTGTAGAAGAGTTGTGGTATTTGACAAGGGCACCCAAGTGTCTGAGCCAGAACCCAGCTGGCATGAGCGCAGAGCCTGAGAGCTTAACTTCATTGTGCTACCCAAGAAGTTCTGCCTCTTGGGACACTGGGTCAGGAAAATTGTCAGCTCCCACCTCCTATTCCAGCGTGGTGGGGTCGAGCCCCTCCAGGAATGCCAGAGCACATGACACCCTTCGCTGAGATCAGCCGGGGGGTGGCTTCTGTTCTGTCCCAGACCCCACTTACCTGAGAGGACAAGGAACAGTGCCAGTAGCTGGGAGCAGGAAGGCGAGTGGGCCAGGTGAGGAGGGTGGGGCATGACGAGGGCACAGGACCCCTCCTGTGGTCACTGAGACTGGCTGCCTTTCTGTTTCTGATGATGGTTGGAGTCTGAAGTCCATGGCTGCGGCTACTTGGGGAAGTGTTTTCATTGCAGCAAGATAAAGCTGCTGATGCAAGAGGAAGGAGTTGGGTGGAGGGGTTTCCGGCTTTCGTGTCTAGGCAACCATCCCTGTAATCATTTCTGACAAAACTTGAATGTCCACTCGCCACAGACTCTGTCCTCAACACCCTGGGAGGGAGATGAGCATGGCTGTCATAGTGTGAGCTCGAGTCAGCTGGACTTTGGATCAAGTATTGGGTCTGCCTCTTCCTGGCTGTGTGACCTTTCAAACTCACTTGCCATCTCTGAGCCTTTGTTTCTGAGCCAATGAAAGCAATCCCCTGCTCCTCCAGGTTCTGACAGTCTCTTTAGCTGCACTGTCTGGGTTTAAATCTTGGCTTGACCCAGTCATTGCAATCATTTGAGCACTTTGTGCCTCAGTTTCCTTATCTGTAAAACAGGGATAAAAATATGGTCGGATGTATGGGGTGAAATGAGTACTCTATGTGCTGCTATCATTCTTTTTTAGGTTAATTTAGTCTTTTCCAGAAAAAAAAAGCTCAAGCTTTCAGTTCATCCCTCCCTCCTTCTTACTCTAGTTGGTCCTGGGTGCAGAGGTAGCTGAAGTTTCTTTCTGGGGCAGGATGGCAGCCTTGGGTCTGAGTGTCTGCCATGAGGTGGTTGGTCTGACCAGGTTCCTTTGCACTGGGTCTGCTGGAGTCTGCTGAGGTGTGGTCTGTCCTCTCTGGCCTTTGGAGCCTTGCATTGGCATTACTGCTAAAGCCTATTGCTATGTTTGCTGTTTTCTTGTTGAGGAGACCCGTATATTAGAGCCCCTTTGCACTGACCACAGACCTAGAAAATTCCACCAGACCCTCAGCACCTCCATGTCATCCTCCTGGAGAACTTCTGAATCATCTGCTCATCTGTGTGGATCCCTTCCCCAGCTATTTCTTTACTTCTCATGTTTTACTAGAAATTAATTTAATTTATTTTATTGTATTGATCAGCTATTGCTGTGTAACAAACCACCTCAAAATGTAGGGGCTTAAAATAATAACCATTCATTTAATTCGTGATTCTGTGGGTTGATAATTTCATCTGGGCTCCGCTTCATGGTTCTTCTCATCTCTACGGATTGCTCATGCACTTGAGATCAGTGGCAGGTTGGCTACATAGCAACTAGGATTGGCTGACTTTCACCTGGGCCACCTGAGCTCCCCCGCCCCCCGTGCCGTGTAGTCTCTCCTTTTCCAGGAGGTTAGTCTGGGCTTGTTCACATGAGAGGGGCAGTTTTGAGAGAAAGTAGAAGTTGTAAGGGACAATGTCACGTCTGCCACATTCTTTTGGCCAAAGCAAGTCACAAGACCAGACCAGATTCAAGGGATGGAAAATAGACTTCACCCCTTGATAGAAGGAGCTGCAGAATCTTATTGCAAAGGGCGTGGATACTGGGAGGGAGTAAAGAATTATGAACATTTTGGTAACTTGTCTACCATGGGCACCACAGGATTCAGAATTCACAGGATTCAAGGTCCTTTAAAAGGCTCCCAGATGTTACCTTCCTTATGGTTAATTATAGTGACCAGTTTCTGGAGACATTTAATTCCTTTGCTATTTCTGGCCTGGTGCTCAGAAGCCAAGTTGGACACAGCCCCTGGACACCCTAGGAAGCCAGGTCATGGCCCCTTCTGCTTTAGGCATCTCTAAACCTACTTGGGGTTTGTATATGACACCCCACCCCAGAGCTTTGATCCCAGGGTGCTGGGGGTGCCATCTGAACTCCGGCCCGAACCACCCCCACCCCTTTTCTTTCCACTCTCCACCAAGTCATAAGGGTAGGTGTTCCCCTTTTTTCCTTCTGTAGGGACTTTCCTAACCTCAGACCTCTCCAGAACAGATGGTCTCCTTTGTTCTCACTGGGACCTCTCCAGCTCTCTGTTTCTCTCTCTCTCTCTCTCTCTCTCTCTCTCTCTCTCTCTCTCTCTCTCTCTCTCTCTCTCCTCGAGGCAACAAATCTCAGGCTTCAGGGGTAGAGCTGCCCTGGAAGGAACTAGACTACTGTTATGGGACAATGCACAAGGCAGTACTTAAAAAATATTAGACCTGTCCTGCTCACCTGTAAAATGGATGCAATAGTGTGGGGCACGCTGGCTCCCAGTAGTGGCTCAGTACCTACTGTAGAAGCGGTGATTCTCCTCCTGGTGCGTGTGCCCAGTTTTTACGGGAACAGCGGTGTCTGTTACTAACGTGGGGAGTTAGCTTAAGTTGTTTCCAACATGGACACCTGACGTATATATAAAACACAAATCTATACTCACATTGGCTTTTTTCCCCTTACAAAAATGGAACTTTGTTAAAATAACTTCTTCATTTTTTTCAATTGAATATTATTAGATTTATTTGGATGGAGTTAGATTGTAAACAACTAAATGAGAAAATACATAAAACAACAATTTTCAAACATTGGACAGCAGATAGCATGGAACTCTGATTCAGAGGGAAGAAAACCAAATGAGGCAAACCTTAACAATCACCACGGTTTCTGGATGGAGATGCTTTCTGGATGACGGTGCCAGGAATGAAATCTCAAGAACATAGTGAGGAGCCAGAGATCAGAGGTCTGAGAAGTATTGGAACTTGTTGGATGAATACTGAAGAGGATAAGCCTAGGCAAAGAAATAAATCTAGATATCTAAACAGTGGTCTCTTTGAGCTCTTGTCTAAATTCTAATTTGTACATGTATGGAGTGAAACTTTGTAAGTACAGGCAAAGGATGACTTCTGGGGAACTGCCAGGTGTAAACATTCCAAAGCTCACCCAGGCCTTGGAGACATTTTAAGTCCATTCAGCTAACATAGAGATACTTCTTCAAGTCCTCAAGCCATTTGATAATGACCCCAAAAAGGGTTATGCCTTAGGAGTAGGGCTAAATTAGCCCTACAGTAAAATCTATTGTAGAATTTCCCTAATGAAATCTATTTATTTATTTATTTATTTTTTGAATGCTTTAAAATTAATTTTTTTATTTTTATTTTTTAAAAATTATTTTTTATTGTGAAATACACATTTTTTAGAATTAGTTTTAGCTGTACAACACAGTGCAATAGTTATACTTTTTACCCCTCGAGGTGACAACCCCCCTCCCCCAATCCACCGCCCCACTTCCCCCC